AGCTGGGACACACTAATCTGGAGCAGGGAGAAGAGGGGAGGGGTCCTGCACTACACTGCCTGGGGTGCTCCAGGTGTTGGCCCCAACCCCAGACAGCCAGTGGGAGGTGACGGATGGCCTGCGATTAGCACTCCCCACCTCCACCCAGCCCTCTCACTTGCTCCCAGAGGCCTGACCCTCTGGACCAGCTGCTCAGCCTGGAGAGGCCCTGGGTGGGAGGCAAGGGGAGGTCAGGCCAGGGCACGGGCCATCCTGATGCCCCCGGAGAGGGCAGGCGGGTGAGGCCCAACATGGTTATTTATTGGAGTATAATGGTTTGTGGCCGTTGGTCGTGAAGGTGAAATCGATCAGTTGTAGAAGTCAGGTTCTATCAATTATTACAGCAATTAGTCAAGTCAGAACATCAGAGCAAGAGTGTGGGGGCTGGGGGTTAATATTAGATGGACATTACCCATGGTGCCCCTGCTTTAGCCTTCCTAAAGTGCTACCCTGAGGCTCCAGAGCCTTGGGGAAACTCACTGGCTTCCCCTCTCAGAAGTGGCTAGGTGGAGCCTGACTGAGAGCTTCCTGGTCTAGAGACAGGCCCAGCACTGCTTTAAAAGACATCTCTGTGCTGGCTGGCCCAGGTGCAGGGATGTCCTACCTGTCCCCATCCCATTCTTTATGAGAAGTGACACAGCTCCTACTAGAAATTACTCAGTGGCCAATGTTTATGGCACACATTTTTCATTCTGTAAGCAAATATAGATCACTGACAGCACTTGTTTGAAGCTGTTAATCTCACCCTCAGTTCTACTGTCTTTCTCTCTCTCCTTGTCTTTCTTTTTCCTCTCCCTTTCTCTTTCCCATTTTTTCTCCTCTTCCATTTCTCTTTTATATTTATTTATTTATTTACTTACTTACTTACTTACAGAGAGGAAGGGAGAGGGATAGAGAGCAAGAAACATCGATGAGAGAGAAACATCGACCAGCTGCCTCTTGCACACCTCCTACCAGGATGTGCCCGCAACCAAGGTACATGCCCTTGACCGGAATCGAACCTGGGACCCTTCTATCCGCAGACCAATGCTCTATCCACTGAGCCAAACCGGTTTCGGCTCTTTGCCCATCTTGTCTTTCCCTTCTTGATCTCTCTCATCACTCTTCTATTCCAGCCCATATCTAGTGACAGAGCTCTCCTTTAAGCTGCCAAAAAGACCTTCCTTACTAGGAAGGCTATACATCGTGTAAGCAGTGAAAAGCAGTGAAGGATTTTCCAGCAGGCACGTGTCCTGGCTGCCCAGATGGTAGTGTGAAGAATTGGAGTTAAAAAAAATCTGGGGTTTGACTCCCGGTCTAAAGAAATAACCAACTTTGTGACCTTATTTCAGTTCTCTGTATCCCGTTTCCATGTCTGTAGCATGGGAATTTTAATTTCTAACCCTCAGGATGGTTGTTAGGATTAAATGATATAATACATATAAAGTGCAGAGCACAGTGCCTGGCATACAGTAAGCACTTAGTAAATACCGTCGGCTATTATCACCATTTCTAGTTATATATCCAGAAGACATAAAAATCATACATTCATGTAAAGATTTTTATACAGATGTTCATAGCAACATTCATAATGGCTAAAAGGGGGAAACAACCCAGATGTCCATCAGCTAGTGATTGGATAAGCCAAATGTGGTATATCCACACAGTGGGATATTATTCAAGTATAAAAAGGAATGGAGTACATGCTACACTCGTGTAATAGCATGAATAATACATGTTACAACATGGATGGACCTTGAAAACATTATGCTAAGTGAAAGAAACCAGAGGCCACACATTGTATGATTCTATTTATATGAAAGATCAAGTATAGGCAAACCTATGGAGATAGTAGACAGTGGTTGCTGGGGTTGAAGGAGATGGGGAGAGGTGGGTAGCCTTTGATAATGGTTATGAGGTTTATTTTTGAGATAATGGAAATGATCTGGAATTAAACAGTGGTAATGGTTTTATGACTTTGTAAGTATATTTCAAACCACTGAATTGTATACTTCAAAAAGGTATGTGAATTATTATATCTCAGTTTAAAATCATATGAATATTCTGTAGCAAATTCCTATTAGAAAATAGGATTGTGTATAAAAGTATTAATTGTGTTACTGATAATAAATTTCTTGCACTCTGCCCCTTTCCCCTTTTCCTCCCACACCTCTTCCTCTGCAGCCCAAGCAGACAGCACATATAAATGCTTAATAAATTATTGCTATTGCTAATAAGTACATCAGTTTGGGGGGGGGGTTGTTTGTTTGTTTTGGCAGTACAAACGGCCTGAGCCTTTATTAGTTAGACCGGGGAGTGGAAGAGGAGGGGACAGGACGGCTCCGGATCCCATGGCGGCTTCCGACCCCGCAGCCGGCCCCGGAAAGCAGAACATCCGTTTTTAAGAAGCAGAGAGCTTCTATAGAAATGGGTTTATATCTATATTAATAAAAGGGTAATATACTAATTAGACTGGATTGACTGGATGTCTTGCAGATGTCCAACTTCCTTCCAGACAAAGCGGGGGCTGAGGCAGAGGCACTTAGGGGCAATCAGGCCAGCTGGGGAGCAAGCAGTTAGGGGCAAGGTCAGACTGGCAAGGGGAGCAAGCAGTTAGAGGTAAGGCAGAGGCATTAGGGTCAATCAAGCTGGCAGGGGAGCAGTTAGGGCAATTAGGCCGACAGGCAGAGTTGGTTAGGGGCAATCAGGCTGACAGGTGTGCAGTAAGGGGCAATCAGGTCGGCAGGCAGAGGCAAGTTAGGGGCAATCAGGCAGGCAGGCAGGTAGGCGAGCAGTTAGGAGCCAGTGGTTCTATTATTGATTGGAGAGGGTGCAGGCCAGGCTGAGGGACCTCCCCCACACACACACACATACACATCGTGCACGAATTTCATGCACTGGGCCTCTAGTTATGATGTAAATGTTTCCACAGTCTGGGATTGAGAAATGCTGATTTTCAACAAACAGTGACAGGATACACTGACAGTCTTACCTGTGTATTTAGTGTCACCAGCCAGCTGGTTACCTTCTTATGGCAGAGACTGCATCTTAACCTTTCTTTACTTTTTAGACAACACTTCCCTAGCAAGAAAGATCAAGGAATCTTCTATTTAACACATAATTCTTGCCCATCTGTTGTGTTCAAGGCACAGCTTTCCTCTCATGTTTCTCTCTTCCTGCCTTGAGAGGAGTCCTTTGGAGGAGGGCCAGTGATTCTCCTATGTCCCAAGCCCCACTCATTTAAAGTTTGCCAAATTGAATGGAATGGACAGTTTTTGAAGAGGAGAGTAAGGTGCTCAGACCTGGGCTTTGGAAGAGATTCTGACAGCCTGGGGGTGGAGTAGCCTTTCCTCCATAACTGCCAAGCCTTGCACACACTAAACTATACAGGCTTGACAGCTGCTGGCACTTAAAAGAGGGAGAAGGTAGATAGATGGCCCCAGGCAAGCTGTTTTTTGTTTTGTTTTGTTTTGTTTTTTTGTCATACTTAAGTTCTTTGTCTTCACATCACAGGAACTAATGATTGGAGGGAAGCTTGCCTATAAGCACACACTCAACAACAACTAGTATTGGTAATAGCCTCGAACTAAACCTGGGCTGGAACAGCTAGGTTGCTGGGGATGGCCACGCCCTTCCAGAAGACTGCTGATTCTGGCAGGCAGAAAATGCCAGAAAAAAAAGAACATTAAAAGAGTGAGGGGCCCACCAGCTGGTGTGGCTCACCTGTTGAGCATTGACCCAGGAACCTAGATGTCATTGGTTCGATTCCAGTCAAGGTATAGGCCCGGGTTTTAGGCTCCATCCCCAATGGGGATCGTTGATATTTCTCTCTCATCTCATCAAAGTTTCTTTCCTTCTTTCTTTCTTTCTTTCTTTCTTTCTTTCTTTCTTTCTTTCTTTCCTTCCTTCCTTCCTTCCTTCCTTCCTTCCTTCCTTCCTTCCTTCCTTCCTTCCTTCCTTCCTTCCTTCCTTCCTCACCCAAAGATTTTCCCATTGATTTTTAGAGAGAATGGGAGGGAGGGGGAGAGACGCAGAGAAACCTGGATGTGGGAAGAGACATCAGTTGTCTGCCTCCCACATGCATCCTGATCAGGAGGGGCAGGGATCGAGCCTGTAATTTAAGTATGTGCCCTTGACCGTAATTGAACCTGGCACCCTTCAGTCTGCAGCCTGATGCTCTATTTTCTGAACCAAACCGGCTTGGACATCTCATCAAGGTTTCTATCTCTTAATCCCTCTCTCTTCCTCTCTCTAAAAATCAATAAAATATAAAATAAGTACAACTTAAAAAGTAAAACGTTTTAAAAAGGGGAGCAGAGAGTAGAGAGAAGGGAGGCTTTTCATTGTTATTTGGGACATTCTGTGCTTTAGAAAGGAACCCTTTTATATGATTTTTGTGAATGAATATTCATCTGTATATGAATGAGTTGGATAACAAGAGTATTTTATTTATTGATTTTTAGAGAGAAACATTGTTTGTTTCACTTATTTATGCATTCTTTGGTTGCTTCTTGTATGTATCTTGACCAGAGATCAAACCCGCAACCTTGGTTTATCAGGACAATGCTCTAACCAACTGAGCAACCCAGCAAGGACATAATGGGAGTATTTTAATGACTAAGGCCATTGGGGGTAAAGTAATCATATATTTGGTACATTTGTTGGTATATTCAGCTGGTGTACTTGTATGTGCACAGCACACCAGTGTGCATATAACACATCTGTATGTGTGGAAGTATGTGTAGCATGTTTCTGTACATGTGGGAGCCCCAATACTCTGACCTTTGTGTCAGAGAGGGCTAAGAACTCTCAGAGTAGCTTGACATGTTCTTCCCACCACTCTACAGCCTCTTAAGTTTTTGTTGCTCTACATTTCCTAGGCGTTCCTGACAACAAAATCAGGGTCCAATCTCACTGATTGCTCACAGTCTTGCTCAGAGAGCTTCTGACGATCCCTGACAACCTCTTTCTCCTCCTGCCAGGAGCCAACCCCCTACAGAGGAATGAAATGGGACACACACCCTTGGACTATGCCCGAGAAGGGGAAGTGATGAAGCTTCTAAGGACTTCTGAGGCCAAGGTAAGTCTCAGAGAAAGGAGAAGGCCTGAGGGCACTCTGGGAGGCATTTAATCTTTCACTCATTAAATTAGGTCAGGCTTCACACTTCCCCTTAGCTGATTATTGTCTGTTGAAAACAAATCCAACCCCTTGTCTCATCAAGAATAAGAAACTGTTCTTGTGAACCACTTTTTGTCTGAGCCACTTTTTGCTTCTGAGGATTAACCATCAAATTAATGTTTGAGATGATGGACCTCCTAACTCCTCTTCACAGGTGGGGAGCTAGTGAGACAAACTCTTCAGCCCAGGCCTTATGTATTCTGTAGCCTCATCAGGCGATCTTTCCTTTCACCACTCCTCTAGAACCATTCTCTAACCCTCCTCTTCACACACACTCCAGAGAACAGTGGACAGTCTGAGACCTCCCCTCAAACCTTCATCTTAATTTCATCCTCTCACCCAAACTTTCGAACTCCATAAAGACTCCTCCCAGCCACCAAACTAGCTCAGGAACTACTTGGCACAGTCCAAGAACTGGAATCACAAATCTCAGAGTTGGCAGGGACCTCAGAAATCATCAAGTCTGGTGATGGGAAATCGTACCAAAGCCAAACCAAGTAAGTCAGAGGAAAATAGAGCTGTTCTGGTTTAAGCAGAGGCAGACCTGTTCCTTGCCTGGCCTGTTCCTCTCCTCCTGAGCAGCCTCCTTGGAGGCTCTGCGGTGGGGCAAACATTTTAAATCTCTGAAATCAAATGAGTCATTTTACTTATAGATGAATTGTAGCCCATGGCTTGCCTTTGGTCCGAGAGTAAGTTAGCATCAAAACTGAAACTAATAGACTTGAACAAAGTTTAGTGACAGGACTAGAACTGGAAGACCTGGTTCCTGACCCTGTTTTATGCTCTTTCCAGCATCATGGAGTCTCTTGTTGGCAAATGGCTGAAGTGCTCTGAAATGATTCAGTGTAGCAGGTCCCCTCTAGTGGCAAATACTCTCTGTCTTGAGAAAAAGCACTTAGGTCACTGCACTGAGACAGACAGGATGTAAGCTATGATTCCAGCACCATCACTTACTGACTGGGTGACCTTGGGCTAGCACTTTCCCTCACTGAAGCTTAATTTACCTCTGTGAAATGAAAACATTGGACTAAATTGTTTCTAAAGTTTCATTCAATATATGATTGTCTGTGTGCTGGTCAGGATAAACATATTATGCTGTTGTAACAACCCCAAATTTCAGTTGTCTAAAAGAACAAATATTTATTTTGCCTCACACTGCATGTTCATTGTGGGTCGTTTGGAGGGGGTGTGAGGATGTGTGTGCTCTGCTCATTACAGGCACTCAGGGACCCAAGAGCAGAGCAGCCATCCTGTAGAACAATGCTGAGTGCATGGGGAAAGAATTTTCTGGAAGATCTTGCACTGCAGTTAAATGCACAGTTTGGAAGTAGGACCTTCTACTGCCACTCACAACTCACTAGACATACTAATCCCATGTTCCTGCCCAATCATAAGGAAACAAGGAGACCAACAGTGAACTTGCCATGTGCCTAGAAGGGGGAGAACTGGAAATATTTGGTAACCAGCATTAATCACAGCTTCTATCCTTGGAATCCTTAGTAACCATCTTGCAATGTTCCTTCCAGAGAAGGGGAGGAGTTAGGAAGGTGGACTGGCTTTCACAGCACATTCCAAGGGGCACTTGGGACCAGCAAAGAGCAAAACTTCCATAGAGCAAACGCTTCCCTCCCTTTGTTCAGATTTCCCACCCCTAGGAGCAGCCCTTGAAGTCAGGTCAGCTTTCCGTGTGCCTTAAGGAAATCCCTAAGCATGTTTCAGATAACCTTGGGGACTGCGTCCCAGTCATAATTTCCCCTTTCAGACTAATTATTGTCTCCTGAGAGCAAGCACTGCACTTGGCTAAGAAGACAAATGATTTTTCAGGTGCTGTGATATAGGTCAGGCTCTGGGCTTCTTGGTGCCAGCATATGTGGAGGGGTTAGAGCTGCTGAGGGACTCTTCACAGAATTTAGCTGCCCAAGAAATGGCTTGATGTTGGCCACAAGGCAGTTAACAAATGGCACTTGTGTTCCTCTTCCAATCAGACCCTTCTGGAAAGCAACAGTAGACATTACCTTTTGAGTAAACTGAGTTCTTAGAGTCTCTGCAAGGAGGGCAGGAAGGGGGCGAGAGGAACTGCCCGAAAAAAGGCTGAAGGCAATAGAGTCGTCCGGCCCTGAAGAGAGATTGCACGTAGGCATGGGAACGTCTGTGGGTGGAAGGGGTGGAGATTCATTCAGTGGCAAGGCTAGGACAGAGCAAGCTTAATGGGTGGCAGCTGCAAAGAGGAGCTCCCTAACAGAGCTGTTGTACAGTACAAGAGGCCACCAATAGAGGCTAGGCAACCACTTAGAGTCAGCCCTTGGCTCCTGCAGCCCTCAACTGGAAAACTGTTTTTTGTCACCTCTCTGTACTTGATCCCTTCATCCGGTCTGGACTCCTACATCTGGAATGTCCAGCTGTCAGCTCAACATTTCCACCTGATTGTTCTGCTCTCTCATCAGATCCTAACTAGCTGAACTACCCCTCTGCCCTCTTCTCTCAGTGCTTAGCATCTATGTGGTCACCCATTTTTTTCTGCTCTGTTTTTTTCCTCCAAGCTGCAAAAACTGCCTCTTCAAAATTATGAGGCAGAGTTTCTGGGGAAGAGCACTGCTTTAGACCTGGGTTCTGTCTCCCTCTGCCAGTAAGAGAGCAGCATCTGCTCCTGAGGCCCTATATTTGTAACATAATGACTCAGGCCTGGAGGGTGCTGAGGCTCCAGCCTGAGACCGCATCTCCTGGCTCTTTGTCTAAACATGAATTACCACCGCTGTGACCTTATCTTACTCCTCTTCTATCTGTCCAGTATCCTTTGCCACCCAGATCAGCCTCTTCCACCTTCACTCACCACTGTGTAGTCTAATATGTGCTCCTTACAGAAAATTTGTAATTATAAAAGCTATCTGTCCCATCATAGAAAATTAGGAAGGTAAAATAAGAAAATTAAATAATTCAGAACATATTTATAAGTGACATCTGTGTGCCAAGCTCTGGGCTATGTGGGAAGAAGACTTCAGTGAAACACTGAAGGAGCTCACAGTCTGATAAGGAGACAGGCAAGCGAACCATGACACCACTGAAAACCCAGAGGTGGCCTCTCATCCTGTCTGGGAGACCAAGGAAGGCCTCCTGGAAGAGATGTCAACTAGCTAACTTACAATTAAAAGCATTCTAGTCCTTCTACCTATTTGTAACTACTATTAATATTTTTAATTACTTATAATAATAGTAGGTACCATTTAATGTATCCAGGAACTATGCCAGGTACTCTAACATATGTTTTTTCTAACCCTATAACAAACATATGAAGCAGTTCTTAGTATTCCATTTTACAGATGGGAAACTGAAGCTGAAAGAAAGCAAGCAGGTGATTTACAGAAAATCCAAGTTGTTAAAAATAACTGTTGACATATAAATAAGAGATTTCCTCTTATGATACTATATTTACCTTTTCTGGACCACATCTATATATATTTATATAGGTGGACTTTTTGTCTATACCAGGGATCTCAAAGTGGCAGCCATATTTTATTTTGCCAGCTAGAATTTTTTAAATGTAAATGTAATGCTTTAGAGGTTGGAGTGTGGACTCTCTAGCCACAGGCCTTCCCATTCCTTATTGTATGGGCTTGTCTGTCAAACATCTATATTTTCTGCTTGATTCTCAAGGTGTTTGAGTTATGATCTAGTTCTTCATTTAGGATCTGCTTTTTTCACTTAATGTTATTTCTTAATGTTTTTCTTATTTTAAAATTATCAATTAGCCTATTTTTTTTTATTCTGCCTTTCAAAAGGTGTTGCTTAATCTAAAATTTCTGTTACCTTAATTGGCTCAATGAATTACTCCTCACTGTTAGTTTACTCGTTCTCTTGGCCTTCTTGGGACCCCCTCAAGAAGATCCAGAGGTAGATGAAGCCCAGCTCCTGTCCCCTGAGGGGGCCATGTGAGAGAGGAGGATGGGGAGATGTGAGTACTTCCAGCTCTGATAACCACAGACTGACTCATGCCTTAGGGGAGGGGTCTACACAGCTTTTGTGGGGCTCCAAGGAAGCCTGGGTCCTCCAGGCAGAATGAGCAGGTCAGGCTTCCTAGAGAAGGTAGCCTGTGACCTCCCTAGATCAGGGGTCGGGAACATCCAGCCTGCAAAATCATTTGGTCTGGCCCTGCCAGGCATTAAGGGTAAGTTAAGTGTTTGACCAAATATAGCAGGCTAATTTTTAAGTTAATAATTTTGTATGACCTGCAAATTATGTTATAAATATCCAAATAGTCCTTGGCAGAATAAAGGTTCCCCACCCCTGCACTAGATGGAGAGTTTAATACTTAAAGCTTAGACCATTTTCATGTCTTAACTAAGTGACGAAGGAGAAGTAGAAATATATCTCTGCGCACATGATGGCAGATAAAACAAAAATATGGGGAGCTATTCCATGATGAATATTCAGCTGAGGGGGACGTGCTGGTGCCAGCCCGCATCTCTACTCCCAGATCCTCACTCCACCGAGACTCACGAGGAATTTATTGCTCATTTTAATCACACCCAGAGAATGAATTGGCAGGAATATTAGGCAGATAGACCTATCATATATATTTTATTTGCATATCCCAGTGACAGAAGCATAAGCACATTTCCTATATCTATATTTTTTCATTTGCTTCAGGGGTAGCTTGGGATGCAATGCTCCCTTGGGCCCCCATTCAAGACTTCGAGCCTGGGTGCTCCCATCAGAGCTGAAGAAAGCTTTCCAGGAGGGAAGGGGTGAGGTATGCAGGAGGGAAGGAGGATTATGTTTCTCCTGGTTTAGGGTGAAAAGGGATTTCTTCACTTCCTTTTCCAGCCGGCTCCCTGCTATGTATCTTGTTTTGAGTGCTGGTGCCTGGCCCTGTGCTTGGTCCTGTGAGGATGAAAACACTATCT